TTACTCGCGCGAGTGATGAAATTGCCCGTGTAACATATCTGGCGCGGCAACGCAATTGCAACCCGATATTCTCGGCAATCGTTGCGGAAAGTTGAAATGCTTGAACTTTCGGCAACGATTGCCGAAAATATCGAATTACCAAGGCATTGTTTGAGCAGGAAACGCATGGGCTATTTTAAGATAGCCATTGAAATTCGCTTCTGTATGGACAGCGTGCTGTAGCGCTGCCAAATATCGAAGCGTTAAACAACACATTTCTGCTGGCTTGATTGATTCACGCATTATTGTGTCTTTCTTGTAAAGCGTTTCAGATAGATTATCAACTATCTTTTTGAAATGATCAAAATCCATTCGCATAAATTTTTCAAATCCTGTTGTGTCGTGGGCAGCCAGATCGAGAAGAAGTTGACCGAAATAACCTTTGTTTTTTCTCTCTAGAAGCCAGTGCCGGCTCCAAATACGTTTCTTTTCTTTAACCTCCTCGTCATCTTCTTCCAGCAAAAGCATTGCAGCTATGACCACAAGTTCTTTCTTCGACGCCATGTTGTTGTCAGTGACGTTTGTGCCCGGTTTTTTCATGCAAATGGTTGCGACGCGGCTAAGTTATCATTGCTCGTGTCACCACTTCACTCGCGCGAGTAACGCAATGAAATTTAACCCGTTGCAAAGGCGTTGCGTTGCCGGCGCGAGAAGAAAATCGCACGTGTAACTGGACCTTTATGCCCTACATATATAAACAAGTTAATTAAGTTGCTGAGCAAGTATACTTTGTCTGTACGACTTAATGGGGGATGTTCTAGCTGAAGATTTATAATAATAAGGGTTCTCGAAAAATTTGGTAGTCTGCATTTGATGCATCCTTCATTCGCACGAAAATAGGCTGCATTGCTCATTTTCAGGCGAGATACGTCGGTAAGCTGTAAAACATGGAATCTGGAACCTTGGAATCTCCTCCAACAAAATGCTGGCGTGGCATCAAGGGCCTACTTCGTGTAACTCTAGTCACCCTGTTTAAATAAAGTGTTTATTATTATTATTATTTTTATTATTATTATTATAACCGGATCTTCTGGTGCAACGGGAATCCACTGCTGATGCTCAGTTCAAAAGACCAGAACAGCCAAAGCATAACAGAGTCGCTAGTGTAAGAGAACTTTCTCGATCGGACTCGTCTCCACTTACAACTACGGAATATTGCTTTTTGCCCTTTTCGCCATGTTTTAAACAAACAGAAGTGGTTAAAACAAGATATCGCAACCGCAAAAGCTATAAAATCGACTCAATACTATAAGAGCGCATTTAAGAGGTCTCAAGAGCTCTGTTTGAAGTAAAATGTAATATGAACTACTTTGAGAGGGCTATATAACCTATATTAGTGACATGCCACAACTCATTGTCGCAAAATAAGGTGTTGTTCCATGCACCTTGCCACGCGTCAAATTTCTTCACATGGACATGGTTTTAGAGTGGTATTAAAATTGACAATAATCCGTAGCGCAGGTATCCTTCATTGCATGAACTCAGTGTTTTCCGTGACGAATCTTGAACAGAGTACTTAAGACTTATTTTTAACTACTAGTTGCAATATTCCATCCAGACACGCAACATTGTAAAGTGGAAACCTGGTCACAAACATTGGTTATTCCACAAAGGAAAATTTGTTTTGCTCGCTTCGCGCGAACAAATTCGCTTGATGAACTAAAAGCGGCGTCTTTAAGAGGTTTTCTTGAGGCAATGGTATGAATAGCAAATTTAACGTCTACGCGAAAGTTGATTCCGAGCTCGATTCTTTGGCTCGGTAAATATAGGTACCCTCGAATTAAAAATAAAAGTTAGTATTTAGGCTTTTCATTCCAAATCAGGTATCTGCAGCAATGTCACAATTATATATGTTAAGTATCTCTCTTAAAGTACCCTCTTGAAAAATCTTTCGAGTGAAAATGAGTGCGCCTCTTAAAGTATTTTGAATAGAGAGTTATACGAATGACTAAATCCATCATGGTATGATTGATGTATATAATCAAATTTCACTCATATATCATACTGACTAAATATGAATAGTACAGAAAGAAAGTCACTCTTGTAATATTTGTGGCTATATTAGACTCAGGAGTAACTGGAAGTAATAAACCGCCGTATATCCGGCAGCCTAATATCCATTTACGTCATGACATGTTATTGGGAAGTCTACACTGAACTGTCGACGGACGAAAAAAAAAGCGGATGGCTAAAATCAGGAAATACAGTCTACAAAGCTAGGTTTCGCAATGTCTGGAATAAGAAAGTAGTATTAAGGGATCGTTCATTATTTATACTTGGAGTTGGTACCGACGAGAAACGGCGAAAAATACTGTAAATTTTTCATTTACTCAACTTCAACATTGGTCAAAATAATGTTTACCCAACCCATGTGTTACTATACTTCATAATAATTAAACACACAAGATTGTGCTGACAAAAAAGAAGTTGTCTAAATTCTCAAAGCTTATGCATTCAAACTCACTGAGTGTGCCAAAAGCAATCGCGTTCCTGCTGACCAATGACAGAGTTCTTCCTCAATCACTGATGATCTATGTATTGACTATTGCACACATTTTTCTTCATATTTTCCAATGCATGGTATTATATTGTCTGACAGCCATACATTTTTTTACCCAACCCATGAAGCTAGTCAAAAACTTGCTTACCCAACCCATATCTCTTCGGTACCAACCCCGGATATAAATAATGAACGGTCCCTAAAATAGCTCTGTGTATACATCGACGATGCTTTTTTTCAACGCAGAAGCAGAAAATGATCCTTTGCAAGAACTGCCTTGCAAATTAACTTGGATAAGAATTATCTCAATGTGGTTAATATATGTCACGTGACTTTATATTGCTTATCGATATCAATGCGAACGGTTTATAATCATATTATTATTATTCATGTTTAAGAATATTCACCATCGCATAAATTTGAATTGCGGTGAATTTACAACTAAGTATTTAATTAGTATATTAACAATAATAAGGATTAAAGAGTTAAAATATATTAGAACGTTACTTTGTATACTTATATAAAATCTGTATTTAAATGTTGCTACTGTGATTAAAAATAGCCACAGTGCTCGGAAAGAAGCTGCGGCGGTACCGTTCTGTTCTGCATTTGATCGTATAGTTAATGCATTATAGTCTGTATTATACTTCTCAGTTAAAGGTTGATATGAATCGAATAACATAGCCTATATAAAACTTTATGCGTGGTTAATGTATTTAAAACCAATTCAAATAATGAACCGGCTTTATATTTATACTGAAATAAAATCCTGGCGTCATCCAACATAACAGTCAAAACAATAATGTACATTTATCCGGTTAAAAGTTGCTCGTTTCTGTTAAATCTTCACAGAGGTGATATATATTAAATTAAACCGTGTTCTTAGGCTATAAGTGCAGAAATTTGCCTTGAAGAAGATTTTCAGTTCACATTTTTCAGTATTAAACACTCAATGCATCTGCGTTAAGAAAACTATAATATCATGAACTGAAATAGAATAATAAATACTTCAAAGAAATCTAACAAAGAGTTCTATCCATATCAATTCGACTGCGTTAAACTTTGTTAACGACTGCGTTAAAAACGACTGCGCGTTAAAACTCCCGGAAAATGATTCACACCGCTTTTGAATTCCCCAGATATATCTTTTCGTGTCGTTTCGCATCATAGCTTATGCTTCCCGTCTACTACACATGCAATCTTATACAGCCTTGTTCGTTCGAATATTCGCACTATATATGACATATATACACAAAGTGACAAAGGAAGCAACATGTAAACTGAAAGAATGTTCATGGGAACCGCGGACGGCGTTGTACTGATATACTGATCTACAACATTATCATGTATATATCAGGAAACTGCGGATTGATAGGGATTCAACTGCTTGAAAAATATTTTTCAGGTGGTTGAATTCCTATCAACATGCAGTTTCCTGTTGTTTTTGTTTCGTTCCCCGCAGGAATAAAACGGTACTGTATTTGGTTTCGAGCAATTATCACAGGAAAGTGACGTCAGAGATCAAAGTTATCCAATCCTTTGCCAGTATTCTTGCTCAAACGTCAATTACATTTAGAATCGTCCAATGAGATGACCGCTCCTAGCATAAGAAGATTTTTGGAGGCGTGGCGTATAATTCGGAAATCTTAGTTAATTATATATCAACCTATGAGAACATGCTAACTTAACCTGAAGTTCAGGCCTAATTTTAAATAGGGCCTGATACAAAACCTGTCTAGACCGTGGGACGCTCACATGTTATTTTTAGACACAGCATGCAATATGATTGACAAGTGTTATAGATTTCGTTACACAAAAAAATTATATTCTCATGAACATGTCCGCAGAGTGTGCATTTTGCTTTTTAATTAAACTTTAAAATTCAAGGTACTTTTATATAATTAAGAGTCAGTTTCTCTATTTAACCGAACAGCAAACGAAGATTCAATTAGTCAGTTCTGTGTACAGCTTGACTGCCAAGCTTTCTCAAGGTCTCAACTTGCTGGACGCGGATATATACCAAGGATATACTTTAACGGGCTAACAACAGCAACAATAAAAATCTCAATCGTACCACGAAGAAGGCGATGTGGCTCAGAAAACAACGCCGGTAGGACCTGATATTAAAAATAAGACTTTTGCCGGCGAAGCCAGTTGGCAGAACATCTTGGCTGTCAACAACAAACTTTCGAATAGATGACTAGTTTGGCTGTTCTTTCGGCGTCGTGTGTCCAAAATTCGTCAAAGATTTTGATAAAGACCTTCAAAATACTATTTGTTTGATTTATTTAATGTAAATTGTAAGATTTGTAAGATGCAGAGTCTTATCCACGACTTATCATTCAATAATAGAAATAAACTAATTTGGACAGGCTCTTTTGAAGCATTGCAGCAGTTTGTTCAAGAAGTATTAGACCTGAACGAAGGAGATTGGACTTCTCCTGGCGCCGATGCTAAGCTGTTTGTAGCCAAAGGAAAAGACGTTGCAATAAAATGGTATGCGAAATCCCAAACTGTCTCTGTCAGCGGGGATGATCGAGAAAATGTCGAAGACAGATTAAAATCAGTAGCTTCTATGGCGAAGAGCTTATCCGATGTAAAAAATTCCGAAGAACAAACGAAAGACCGCTTGCTC